AAAAAAAAAAAAAGCTGCTTGTTAATGCATAGTTAGAACATTTGGTTATTATCTACGGGGTCACTTGAAGCTGGAGTCCATGTCAGTTTCTCTGGAAATTGCAATGTTTTTCGAGGGGGTAAAGAAGTGGAGGAATTCGTCAGAGATAAAAGAACTACAGATAGGAAAGTTTTGATTAAAACGACAAACCCCAAACTAACAAATGCCACTGGCCCCTATCACTGTGACATTACTATTTTTATCTTTAAGTTACATGGGAAACTGGAAGGAGAAGTTATGAGAACTCTTTGCTCATAAGAGGTGTACAAGTCCCAGTGAGTCAGCAAGGCCACGCGATGCGTCAGAGAATGAGCGTGAGATGGCCAAGGGCGAGTAAATAGATCTGAGGGCTTTGTTATTCCTGTATCTCTTGCATAAAGAATTTTGCAAAAGGGACACAGACTGACTTGGGAAAATTAATGCAGCCAAGCTTGAGCTGTTTTTTTGGAGTGTTTCTGGTCTTCGGCTGGATCGTGCTGTGAGCTTTATCTAATGTAAAGGCAAAGCGGGAACTTGGGAGGTTTCTTTGATAGAGAGGCAGCTGAGAGAAAGTTGGTGACCGCTGACCAGAGGCACCACAGAGCTCCAGCAGTCCAGGGCAGGGTGACAGGAGACAACACGCCAAGGGGAGGAAGGGGAGTCGCTCATCTGTGTCTGGTAAGTGGGTGGGAGTCAGGGAGATCCAAATTCTGAATCTGGTTATGACAAGGGTTCATGATGTGAGCCCCTGGGAGTCACATTTTTCCTTTGTGAAATGAAGAAAGTGAAAACAGTTGATTCTTAAGAGTTCCTTTTAGTTGCATTGCTATCTCTGATTTTGATGATTTATTTTCTTACAAAGTGAAAAAAATCGCACAAAAATTTTTCTAAAAGTTTCTAAAAAATTAAAAAAATTCTGTACTTATTACTTTACTGTTTTCCTGAGATACTAACATTCGGAGTCAAATTTTCTTCCTTTCTTCATATTATGGTATGAATGGAATGCTAGCTAGTCTTGTGGTTTGAATGGGTCATGTGGATGAATTTTAAGTGTGAAATGAAGTCTACATCCAAGTATTTCTACTTGTGTTGTCTCTGAAATCTGGAATTCCATCCTCAGGAGTTTATCTCTTGCAGATAAAGCACCTGCAGTCTATTAATAAATACATGCACACAGACAGGCAACACATTAAACTTGTTCCAGCTTAATAGAACACATTTATCTGCCCTTCCATCCCTCCCCCAGTGAGCTGGCCAAAGCGCCACAGCACCTTGGAGCAGGAGACCATAGGAAACTTTGCCCAGGGCAGAGGAGTGACACAAATGAAATCTGGGCTATGCCAGGAATTTCCACAAGTTGGATTTGGCCACCGTGGGAAGCTGGGAAGGGGCAGATATGAGGCTAATGGTGGACTGTGTAATATGTTGATGGTGGCAGAGGGGAACAGAAAGTTTGATAACAGGGATTCCCAAGAACAAAATTGCCTCAGTCTGGGTCTGTTCATGTAAATCTGTATGAAACTCAACCATCACAGAAGAGCAAGGGGTCAAGGAAGGTGACGCATTTTCTTGGCTCCTCCAGAGTTTCTTTTTGTTGTTGTTATTGTTTCCATTTTGCCTGAATTCCAGATGTATAATTAGAGTCGAGAAGAAAATGTTCTGCACAGGGTGTTTTGCTAACATTGCTGTTTTAGTGAGGAAATTTTGTTTGTTTTTTAAGAGCAGAATAATATACTGAATCTTTCCATATCCCTTTATTAAAACATAACCTCTCTTAAAAGTTTAATAAAGGCAGACTGCTGAAAGTTCTTTCAAAATACTCTTGTTTTTGTTAAGGAAAAAAACAATCATATATACTTTTACTGGTGCTGCCATTGTTCATTCTGAAGCTTCCTGTGTGGGCTCAGGTTTGGAGGAATGCAGTGGGGATTTGCTCATCTCCAGTGCTGTGCTGTCAGAATGAACTTTTAATTTATTTGATGTGCTTTTATTTCTTGCTGTTCTGACATTTTGTGATGTGTGGCTTTCTTCTGGAGAAAGTAGATTCGATAGTGTCTTTTCCTCTATTCAATAATTCATGTTTTAACTTTACAAGCAACTATGGATATTATAGCAATAGAATTACTTAAGGAAGTTTGCTGAGAGATGTCCATCAAGTCTGTGTTTCCTAAAGAAGTGGTGGCCTCCAATGGATTTGTAAAGCATTGGATACAAATGTGAGAAAAGTTCCTCAGTGGTTAGTGATCCTAGAGCCATTATATCCTGAATGCCAAGGATTCTTTTCTGGTGAATTAGATTCTGCCAAACTCAGGTGCCATATTTGAGACAAAAAGTAAATTTCCATTCTCTTTTGCTTTGCTTACTTGCCTTTTGTTAACTCTTTCACCCTATTCATGAGACAAAAAGAGGCTGAAGTGATAGAGAAATTTATTTCACCAGCCACTGAGAATGTAATCGATGGGGAAACCAAAACTCACCTTCCAGGCTTCAAATTGTATCTCTTTCATTCCAGACCCACCAGCCTTGCAGTGGTTCACAATTTTTACACCTCAAACTCATTCACACTTCAGTACCTTTTTTTAAATGAAAGTTTGAATCTGTTCCTTTAAAAAAATCTATTACCTCTCTCATGTCCACATTTGGCAATTTCTATTGTCCTGTCATCCAGATCACTATTTTTTGCCCCTGTGTCTCCTACATTTTGCTGCTGGATGCATCCAGTGAGCTTTTTACTTCAGTTACTATGTTTTTCAGTTTAAAATTTCCCTTTGTTTCTACTATTTTTTGATGAATTTTCCATTTTTTCACTTGTTGCAAGCATAATTGCTTATTGAAGCCTTTTTATCATAGTTGCTTCAAAACTTTTGCCAAATAATTTTATCATGTTAGTAGTAATACATTTAGATTGTGTTTTTTTTCATTGTTGATTGTCTTTTTTATTCAGGTTGAAATCTTTCCTGTTCTTGGTATGACAACTGATTTTTCTAATGAAACTTGGACAGTTTTCAATTATATTTCGGGGCTCTCAATCTTACTTAAATCTCTTCCTTTAACTGGCTTTATCTGACACTGTGCTGACAGGGGAAGGGAGAGCACTGTCTCACTGCTGTCAGGATGATGGAAAAGGCAGTGTTTTCTACTCAGACTCAGCTAGCATCTCAGGAAAGGGGCTTCTTGTTGCTGTGTGGGCTAGAAGTTCCAGCTCCTCAACGTAGTCTCCACTGACATTTTGGTGCAGGTAACTTTATCACACTAGTGATGGTGACTGTCCTGATTCCTCACTAGACCTTCTCTGAGACCACCCAGGAGGGGAAGAAGAGAGCTGAACCCTACTGCTCGGTGAGGTCTGAAATACAGGATGCCCTGAAGGCCTCCACTGACACAGTGGGGCTGAGAGGTGGAAGAGACAGGAAGCACCTCAGTCATAGGCAAGGCTTAACGTCCAGGCTCTCAACCTGGCCACGTTTGACACTGCTCTGGGAGGGGGATTAGAGTTCCTCATTACATCTGGTGAGGCTCAAAGTCCGTGCTCCCCTCTGGGCTGTTGCCGATGTGACTGGGGCATTATACTGCTGAATACTTATTTTCTAAAGCGTTTCTGTCTTGGACCACAGATTTCAATGTAAAACCTAAAGCTGAAAAAGTGTTCAGAAAAAGAATAAGAGGAAATATTTGGGATCTCAGATGAGACAAAAAGTTCTTAAACTTGACACCAAAACTATGGATCACAACAGGAAAAATTAATAAATGAAGCTATCAATTAAAAATTGTTCTGTTGAAAAGTTTCTGTTAAAAAAGACAGGCTACAGACTTGGAAAAGATATTTGCAAGACACATATCAGCTAAAGGAATGTTATCTAGAATACATGAAAAACCCCTCTCAAAGTACAACAGAAAAACACACCAAGCAATTCAGTTAGACAATGAGCAAACAGCACAATGAGGCATTTCACCCAAGAGAATATACAGATGGCAAATGAGCACATGAAAAGAAAAGATGTTCAACATTAGTTAAGAAAATGAAAATTAAATTCTCCATGAGATGTCATTGTACCCCTGCCAGAATCATTAAATAAGAAATATCAGCAACACCAAATAATGATGAGCCTGCCGGAAGGTGGATCATTCATAAATTGCTAGTAGGAATGTAAAATGTTCCAACCATCCTGGAAAATAGTTTGGCAGTTACTTCAACAACCAGTCACCCAGTAACCGTTCAACCTAGCAATTGTACTCCAGGGCATTTATCTGGGAGAAATTAAGACTTATCTTCACCCCAAAACCTATAGACAAGTGTTTGTAGCACATTTATTTTTAATAGTCCCAAACCACAAACAATCCAGGCTTTTACTGGATGAATAATTAAACAGACTCTGGTAGATGCGTACGTTGCAATAAAAAGAAACCAATTATTGATACATGCAACAATGTGTATGAATGTGCTGAAAATTAAAATGAATCTGAAAAGCCAATCCCCAAAGTTTGCATACTGTATGATTCAACTTATATATCATTCTTTGAAATGACAAAATTATAGAGATGGAAAACAGATTCATGGCTCCAAGGGCTCATGATGGACATATTCTGTACTTGAGCTTATCAAAGTCAATATCCAGGGTGTGACCCAGGGTGTGGCCTTCACCTACAATATTATAAGCTGCTACCCTTGGGGAAACCAAGTAAAGGTTTCTCTTTTATTTCTCATGATTTCATGCTAATATATAATTGTCTCACAATTAAAACTTTAGAAAACACATAGTTTTCTCTTTTTTTTTGTACCAGGAGTCAGACTCAGGACCTGGTTCTTGTGAGACAAATGGCAGAACCACTGAGCTAAATCCCCAGGCCTAAAAAACACATAGTTACTCAGAAAAGAGGGCAAAAATTTCCCAGAGGTCACCAGTCAGAAGTTCTGGAGGTGAGACTATGAGATCAAGTGCTTCTACACCTTGGTTTCCTCCAGGATAAGCCCCTGGCTGTGGCCCTAATCCTTTGAGAAGCAGGACTACCCCTAAAGTGGGCTTTATTATGGTCCAGGGTTAGTAGCTGCCATTCTCCAGGGCCCTTGACTTTCACTGAATAGCTCTGTGTGAGTTGTCACTTGGAGGAGTGTCTCTGGGGAAGGTTATACCTGCTGCTCCGTTAAGTGCAGTTGGAGGCTTTGGGGCTACTTTCTTCATTTTCAAGTCCAGTCGCTAGGCTGTACTTCTTGTTATTCTCTAAGTCCATGGCTCATTTTAGAGTTGCATCTTCTCTGCTCAGCAGGACAGAAGGGGAGGCTGAAGGGCTTCTGTGGAACCCCAGCAAGGCTTAACCAATCTCTGCTTCAGGTGAGGACAGGACAAACATTGGGTTATCTTTTGGGCACACAGTCAATCTGTCCTTGTAAATGTACGAAATGCACCACTAACAGTGTATCTTTATTCAGAGAAGCTTTTTAATCATTAGGACCCCACATAAGCTAAAAAGCATGAATATGAAAAGCAAATGAACAATAAACAAACTATGTCATAGGGAAGCTTTGGAGCTGACATGGAGTGAGAAAACAATGTGACTTGCTGTAGATTCCATACATGGATCTTGTTCAGAGGTTTCAAATAAGTTGAGGCAGAGATTCAAGCAATTTTTGCTGTCACTTTAGATGTTGGTGGTTAGAAGTTCTGTATTTCCAGGGGACAAGGAGACTTCTGCATGCTCTGCCAAGCTTGGTATAATCCAGGGTCTAGAGTCCAGTAAGGATCAGTTTGCCTGGCTGCATAGGCAGTCGGAGAAAGGGTGTGAACAAAATAAATCTGGTCAAGAACAGCCAACATGAAAAGATCCCCTGGGAGTGAACTATTAGGTTGAGGCTTTGAAAATACCATTTCTATAGGACAAAAATTGTTGAATATTGATCATTTCATACAGGTTGATGTGTATTATCTTAATTTTGTTTCATTTATAGGCTGTTGCAGAAGGGTCAACAACGAATTATGGATCCAGTTCCCAATCTGTCACCTGTAGCTCTATCATCCTTTCCTCATCGTGCAATGTTATACTAGATAATTACAAGTTTGACAAAAGATAAACTTATTTCTTCCCTTATTGGCTTTGACAAGAATTTTTTAAAAATTATGTCAACTTCCAATTTGGGTCTGGATATAAGAATCTCAGCAGATGCTATGACATCTTGACAAGTAAAAAAATTGAACAACTAGGAAATCCACTCTTCTTAGATTGGACAGAGAGGTGAGGCCATGGGTTAATTGTGGCCCCCAAAACTGAAGAGACAGGCAGATAGAGCAAGTCACAATTTTCCAAAGTAGAAGCCTGCTCTGGGAATCACTGTTGAGTCAGAAAACTGAACTGTAATTAGAATTGCTGGCAGTTCAATGTGGACAAGTCTGACTTAAAAACTCCAGGGAGACCCAGTCACAGAAAGACCCCTCTAATGAATGACCTTTCACTTGTATGAGCTTCCAGGTTTTCACAGTGAGTATCAGAGAAAACTCACTTGGGCCTCTGGCAAGAAGGGAAAAGTAGCCATTTAAAAATATGCCATAACATTGTGTTCTTAACAAGACCTGCCTTCGGGAGAAACCGTTTTATCACAGCCTAACCCTCTGGCTTTATGAGAGCATAACTATGTAGGGTATACAAATATCCATCTCCAGCCAGCTCCACCCTTATATGTACAAGACAGGAGATATTGAACTCTAGTCTTCTTAAGACAAAAACTTGGAGAAATATTTGCAAAAGGATATTTCTTATGAAGGACTGAGGCATAAAATATACAAAATGCTTAAAACTCAATGATAAGAAAATTTAAAAAATGATTGAAATGGACAAAAGACTTAAATAGAAACCTAACCTTAGAAGATATACAGATAGCAAGGAAGCATATGAAAAGATATTCAACATTATAGCTCACAAATCCAAAGCACTGATAGTATCAAATGCTTGTGATTTGTGGAGCAACAAGAACTCTTGTTAATTGCATGTGTGGGGACAGAGGATACACAGGTACTCTATAAAGTTTCTATAAACTTTCTAGTCAATTTTGCCTTGAACCTAAAATGCTCTAAAAATAAAATTTATTAACTAAAAAAGATTTTCTTATGCTTATACTGTATCTCTTTCAGCACCCAGGACAGCTCCCGTGGTGGCCGTTCTAAGGTGTCCCCGTGGGCTCTAAGAAATATCTGTTGCATGAACAGGTAGGCAAACATTAATGACTTAATGATTTCCAAGGGAAGTTGTATATGACAGTTACAGACATTTTATTTACCAAGTAATCTGTGACTCTCAAAGAGAACAGAGGTTATTAGTGTTAATGTAAAATAAGGACCATCCAATGGGACGGAGATATTTCAACCTATGTTCTTTGAATTCAGTGGTAATAAAATAATGCTTCTTTGAGTGCTGCTCCCAATCTTTATTTGCTAAGAAGAGGACTTGTTTTGTGCTGGTAACTGAAGTGAATACCTTCCTTTTGAGGCTCCTCATAATGGGACATTATTTAGTATTGCAACTGAGTATGCCAATTTTCTAAACTGGGCTGAAGCTCTCTACAAGAATCCTGGTCAATCCAATCCTGAGCATTTGGGCCAGCCAGGCCTCAGGTACAAAGCAGATCATCTCAGAGCCCACTTTTCTATTTCTGTCTCTGTCTCTGCCTTTGTCTCCTCCACCTTGTCACTGAAAAGGCTAGAGCTTGGTGGTGGTTGTCAACACGGTGCAGCTGGGTGGGATTCAAGGGGAAGGATATATGAAGTGTTGGTAATTTCTTAAGGGAGAGACAAATGGATATCGACTATGCATTGATGCCTACCTAAAATTTAGTGAACAAAATTAGCGGGTAAATGGAAGTACAAAAAGTATTTGCAAGAAGCAAACAGTATCACGAAAAGCATTCTTATTATCCTGGAGATTCACCTACATGACAAGGTAACCTATTCACAAGTCCTGAGCTCCTGGTGAAGTGGTGTCACTTTTCACTTCTGTTATGAAGGCATCTGGGAGAGGTTTATTGTGGTCTGCAGGGGGAAGTTGAGCACACTTAGAGTGTGATTCTGACATGGATTCAGGAAGAGGCACAGCTGTGCTCCTGTTTAATTTGAATTCCTGTAAATGTGATGAATGAAGTGGGGAAAAGGGCAGGGATAGGAGGAAGATTGGTGGGTAGTAACTATTTGGGTCTACCAGGAACTTTATAAATATTTGATGGAGATGCTAGTAGATTGATTGGAAATGCAAACTTATGTCACCAGACAACCAAGAGAGGACAGAAACGTCTTCCACTCATTTACTGGATCATTCCCAGGCAACTGTCATCTTTAGCAACTTCCATCCCCTCTTCTATTTCCTTACATCTACATCTCACATCCATAAGAAACAATATCATCAGAAATTAGTTTTCTTTGCCTGCAATTCTAAAGCACAAGTACTCCATTGAAGGTCACAAATGAAGCCAATGCACCCTAAGGTGGTCACAGCTTATCAGATACTTTTTTCTTGATAGAAGGAATTTCTGAAGAATGTGGGAATTGAAAAGTGAGGAGAAAGTCAAGGAGGCCCTGTATCTTTTGGACTGAAAATATATTATAGCAGAGAGAATTTCATTGTGTACATCTCTAATCTGGAAACACGTGCATAATAAACTGGCTAAGAACAATGCCTTGATTATCTGACTTCTCTTTTTTTTTTTTTTTGGTACCAGCGATTGAACTCGGGTCTTTGCGCTTGCAAGGCAGACAGCAGAACCACTGAGCTAAATCCTGGGCCCAATTACCTGACTTTTTAAAGAGCTATAGGCTTTACAAAAGTTTCATAATGAAATAAGAGAATACTACTAGTTTATACACTGTTTATCATTATCTTCAAAGTAGTTACTCAGAGTATAAGACCAAAAAGATTCTTACAAAGAAGAAAAAAACAACACAAAAGTTTTTTTTTCAATGAACTAAGATTAACTACTAGTATAAAGGAAACAAATTAGCATGTATGTTTAAATATTTTTGCAACAATGGAATAGGCAATTTGGGGAAGAATTTGAACTCCCTACTTTCTATTTGTCTCTCTTACATCTCTCTCTCTCTCTTTCTGTATACACACACACACACACACACACATATAATTTAAGCTTGTGCATATGAATTATTTCACTTAATGTTATGTCCTTAAGTTGCATCCATTTACCTACAAATGGCTGAAGTTTATCTTTCTTCATGGCTGCATAATACTCCATTGTATATATTGCCACATTTTCTTTTTTAAAATTAATTTTATTGGTACATTTAAGGTACACAATGTAATGACATTCATCATTGGAAATTTGCACCTTTACACAATCCATCTTGGTTCTTATTTTGTCCTCATTCTCCTGCCCTCCTTTCAACCTCTCCACTCCTCCCAATCTACAAAGACTTTGTGTCCATTTTTTTCTTTCTTATGCTATACTAATTCCATTCCCATCTTTATTTTCCCTACCCCTCCCACTTCCCCTTCCCCTTTGAACATTTCTTCTATTTCATATTATCTGTTATACCTTTTAGTCCTATTTACACTTTCAGTTTCTCATGCTAGAGAAAATATATGGTTTTTACACATATGTGTCCTATTTATTTCATTTTAGAGTATCGCCTCAATGTGCATCCATTTATCTATAAATATCTCTAGTTTTTCATTTCTTTATTGCTGAATAGTTCTCCATTTTATTAAAAAATCCACATTTTCTTTATCCAGTCTTCTGTTGATGGGCAATTGGATTGCTTCCAAGTTTTAGCCATCATAAATTATGCTGCTTTGAACTTGGGCGCACATATATCACTATGATATGATTCTTTTAAATCTTTGGGGAAGATAACCAGCAGGGGGATTGAAGGTTCAAATGGGACCTCCAATCCTACTTCTTTGAGGTATCTCCATACTGATTTCCAGGGAGGTTGCACCAGTCTGCACTCCCACCAGCAGTGGAGCAGGGTTCCTCTTTCCCCACAGCCCCACCAGCACTTGTCATTGGTTGATTTCATGATAGCAGCCATTCTTTTTGGGGTGAAGTGTTGCTTTCATTTGCATCTTTTGAATGACCAGTGATGTTGAACATTTTTTCATCTTTATTTGCTATTTCTACTTCTTTGTCTGACAAATGTCTGTTCATTTCAACTGCCCATTTTTTGGACTGGGTCTTTAAATTTGGGAGGTCGATTTTTTAAAGTTCTTTATATATTCTAGATAGCAGACCTTTGTCTGAAGAAGAGCTGGCAAAGGTTTTCCCACATTGTGGGTTGTCTCTTCACACTGTTGGCAGTTTCCCTTGCTGTGCAGAAGCTTTTTAGTAGGAAGACATCCACTTTTTGAAAGTATATATACAGATTCTATGTGGTTATCTCTAGGAGATGGTGAACTTCTTTCTGTTTTTGTTATTTCTGTACAGTTTAAATTTTTAATACTTTCATCACTTTGCATAGAACAGTTGTTTTGAAGGTGTGTTTTGTCAAGGTCTGGCTTGATTTGGGTCACAAGCCCTCCTCAGCGGGGGCCACCCATTCACCTGGTGGCACCCAGTCCTGCTTTGTGTCCTCTCTCTGGTTATCTGGGCTCAGGCTGCAGAGGGTGGTCTGGGTGTGAAGTCTCTTCACCAACTCATTGTTAGTGCCTCGGTCTTGTAAGATCTGCTAGCTTTGCTTCACATCCTTTAACCTTGTTTTCCCTCTTCCCCTGTTCTTCAGGTTTTTCTATCTGTTCTTGTACTTTCCTCTGTGCTCTGCTCCTCATTGTCTTTTTCATGCTGACTTCTTTCTCTCTGAAGAGTCCACTTTTGGTAAGCACCTTGCTTCAACTGTTGTTTTCTGTGGCCACTAACTCTAAACAGAGTAGGAAACTCTTCCACCTGCTGTTACTGAATCAGAGCTCACCTGCTTTCAGCTGCTGGTGTTCACAGCACTAAAGACACTCTGAGGTGCAGTGGTTTTGGAGTAACTTTCTATCTGTCTAACTCAGCACAGCCAGAAGAGCAGTTGCAGCACCGCCACAGACGTAATGCAATCTTCTAACTGAAGGAGAATAGCAGGAGGACTGAGGTCACCAGTCTCCATGGTGCCCCACAGATGCTGACCCCTGGTGCTCACACCTCCCACACAGACTCGGTCTTCCCTTGTAAGACCAATGGAATGAATGCCCATCATAGTGCGCGGCCACTGAGGTGAGATCATAGAAGGAATTGCAGCTTCTCTCTTAGTTTAAAAGATTACTTGCTCTGGGGGAAGCCAACTATCATGATGTGATGAGAACATTCAAGCAGTTCTCTGGAGAGGCCCACATGCAGGGAAACTGAGGCCTCTTGCTGATGCCCAGGTCCATTTTGGTACCCAGGATGCAGATCTTCAAGCCCTGTTATGGCTTTATATACTTGTAGTCCCAGTGGGTGTCCAATTGAACTCTCAAGGAAGACTTAAGCCAAAGCCATCTAGCTGAACCACTTCAAAGTTTGGACCCACACACATAAAATTGTGAGCTAAAAATTAGTGTCACATCACCATTGTGTCTTTGGGGTCATTTGTTCTTAACTTCAGATAACAACCATCTCCCAAAGACACAAAATTGTCCTTCTTTCTGTGGTCTTTCAGCTACAAGACAAAGTGCACCTCAGCGTTTCCTTATTAACTCTTTTCTGGTTGGACGTGCAGAAGGTAATAACAATTTAAATTGCATTTGACTTTGTTTTAACACTCATTGCCAGTGCTCACTTTTGTGTAAATGTCCTTATTTTAAAAGAATGCAGGCATCCACGTGACTGCTTTGAGCATGACTTCAGATTAGAAATCTGAAAACGGTGTCTGCCTTCATTTATGGGCAAAAGCATTGTTGAGAATTTAGTAGGAAGGCTGAACTTTCTTGATAGACTGAGTATTTTCCTTCAATTCAGAGCATGGGAGAAAAATACAGACATTTCTGTTTGTGTTTTTTTTTCTCCTTTCACTATAAATGTACATTTGTGGAACTTTACCAACAACAGATATGCCTTCCAGAGATGTTGGCATAGTTTTATTGTGAAATAAATAATTCAGAGCTTTGTGAAAACCCCACCATCCAGGCTTACATGGTTAATGGATCTATCAGTATGACAGATGGATGCAGAGTTGCAGCAGGATATAAAGCTACTAAATATTTATAGTTATTTTTATTCCATTACTGATGGACTTCACTTTCCCAAGCTAATAACTTGAATTGTAAAGGCTTCACTTTTATTTTCTTTGCAGTAATATGCTTCAATTTTCCAACAAATTAATTGGACTATTCAGGAATAGCACTTATAAAATTTCTGTTAAAAATAGAATTTAAAGATTTATTGAAACTGAGGTGTTCAAAAAAATCTACTCTTGGGTCATAAGGAGGTCTGTGGGAATGAATGTCAAGCAATCTATTAGCATAGCTCTCCAGGCCCACTGGTAAGAATTTATTTCAGAGTGAAGATTTTCAGTTTTTTCATAGATTTTTTTTTTTTTTTGGTTAGGGGTTTCCTTTTGTATTTGGTATTTTTGTGTATAAATCTTATGTCTGTGAACTAATATTTAAATTAGATGTTAATTAGATGATATTAGATTTTCATGATATATGGGTTCAAATGTTTTTAAGACAAAATAGTAATTGCCTCACAGAAACGAGGTGAACAAGCTGATAAGCAGTTTTGTGAGATACAAAAGTACTTGCCTTGGCCTGCTGAGCCTACAGAATAAAGATGGCCACTGCTTTACTTCTGTCCTGCCTTATGTGAAGAGGCTTGTTGGAGCCACCCAGTCTGAAAACACTGGTGGACAGGGGTTCTGAGACTTACAGTTCCATCTTGTCATGTTCAAGTATTATAAAGCCAACTGTTCTTTGGATTCCTTTTTACTGTTTAGTTTTTGAGCCTACTTTTTCACCCAATTTCAGCATGCTTTAGACTCTAGCAGTCCACATCTTTTCTGGAAGGACAAACTCAAGCTACCCACTGTTTTCCCTAGAAGTACTTGGGCATTTACCACCCCCTAGGCAATCCTTGGCCAGCCAAGTGTGTTTCAGCGACTGACATCTCTCCTTTGAATCTAAACTTTACAATAAAAAATTTTTCCTTGGCATTTCACATGGCCTAGTGGCTGAAATTTTTTCCTAGCACCTTGCTAGTTTTATGACAAGGTCCCTGAAGATGTTCTTTTATGCCTCCCTGAGATTATCAACCTTTTCACTGAAGGCCTGAGCTTTTCCTGATTTGGTAGCCATCTTAGGTCCTCGCTGTCCATCCTCTTCTTGTGAACTGATTAGTCAGGTCTGGACTACACACCAGATTTCCATCTCATACCCTTCCCCACATCAACCCTGGCCTGGGTTCAGATGTCCACAACTTGACCTTTTTACCACCCAGCAAACCTTCTTCATCTGCTTGTTGTTAAACTTCCTCAGTCTAATTCATCTTGCCTCCGCTTGAGTTCTGTCTCTGGTAAAACAGAAGAAATTGGCAAAATAAAAATGTTTGATAAGGAAAAATGGAAATCAAAGCCTGAAGATTGAAAAGAACTTTTGGAACTATCTTTTAAAAAATACATACATAGATATATATAATGCATAGTACTTATATTAAATATGTATTTTTGTGCATTTACTTTGGTTTGATACATAAATGGTATCAATAGTATAGATAAGAAAGAAGACAGGAAAAGTTATTTACTCAACAATGTTCCAAACACTGTCCCTAGATGTTGAGTGTGTTATAATGAAATAGCCAAAGTCCCTGCCCCCATAGGACTTGGCTTCTCACAAGAAAAAGAAAGACAGCAACAAGACCAAATAAGTATATAATATGTGAGATGGAAAAGAATAGGCAGTGAAGATGTCTATTTAGAGACCTGAAAAAAGGAGGGAAGGTGCCATGCAGATATCTGGAGGAAAGAGCCTTCTCTGTACATTGAACACAAAGGTGAAGGGCTACAATCCTTAGTGAATAAGCAGGGAATAGGGGCTGGAGGAGAGAGTGTGTGTGGAAGACCCTGGGTAACTCTCTAGTGTGCGTACACACACACACACACACACACACACACACACACACACAGAGGAATTACAGCAGTCGGCATTACTGACCACTGGACATACAGTTAAGCTCTTGTATTGGTTAGGATTTTATAAATGGATAAAACTGAAATAATTATGCAATGGTGTGCAAGGGGCTTTATTAGGATCGGAGGTAGAGAGTCCATGATGTCCATCTGCATGCTGGGGTGTCAGAGGATCCAGTGGCTGCTCAGTCCAAGAAGCTGGACCCACAGAACCGGAGGAATCAAGGATGCAGAACCCGTCTGAGACCAAAGGCCAGGACGCTCAGTGGAGGCACCAGTGCGAATCTGATTGGAAGCTGAGAAGCTGGAGTCCGATGTGAAAGAAGCACCCACTGCAGCAGAGTGGAGCTCCTCAAATGCTCACCGGACACCCCACTTTCCCTCGTCTAGGCGATGAGCCTGTTGGTGGGTGCCCCCCACCAAGTGGGTCTCCCCCTGTTTGCTGGCCCACATGCCAGTCCTCTCTGGAGACACGCCACAAACACGCTGAGAGGACGCGTCCCCGATCAGTTAGGCGTCTCTTACTCTGGTCAAGTTGGCATATCGCCGTTAAAGATCACAATATTTTACCTAGAATATCTGTTTGCATACTAGCCCTTAAATGTTACAGTTAATGTCGCCACTGCACAGTCTATACGCCTGATTTTTATGTGGGAAGCTGACTTAGCGCTGGTCGGTAGCACGGATTCCAGCAGAAGACCGAGACCTAAAGCCAATCAGGGTATCACTAAGCCTCTGGCCCATGGATCGGTCCAGGCCTGGGCATGCTTCCCAACCAGAAGCAATTGTGAACATTCGCTGGAGCGCGCAGGTGAATGCTCTCTTTTTCCTGCCAGGAGGAGAGGAAAGTCCTACCACCATGGAAGAAGAATGCCTGAGAATCAATCCGAATTAGGAGGGAGTGGAGCCCAGGACTGGGAGGTGAAATACGTGGTCCGAGCCTGGGGCTTGTTAGTTTCAGGAGCTAATGCGTCATTTTTGCTATTTCCACTTTCAGATGGATACTTTGCTTTGTCATTTGAAACCAAAAGATTTTGGAAATATTTAAGGCTTGTACATTTCTATAGCTCTGTTGTTCCTGCATAGTTCCACATTGTGTGTGCTTACTGTTTTATCGCAGCATCTCTGTGGTGGTTATAACCAAGTGTAGTATTCAATTTAGACCTGTTAACTTCCTCTCTTTGGGACCTAGGACAAGTCGCTACCTTCTCTGAACCTCAGATTTCTTGTGTGAAAAACTAGGGAAATAATGCTGACCCTGGAGATTGGTTTTTAGTGGATTAGACATGATGGTAAGTATGGAGTGCTTAGCAAAGTACCTGGTGATGGCTGCTGGTCAGGCAGAACAGAGTAGTAGCTGGGACTGTAATTTCTGGAGGCCCAGAGCTGGTGAATGTTAGTGCCATGAGTCAAAGCAGGCCACAACCCCTTGCTTTTCAAACCGCACGGTGCTGCCTTTCCATCCTGTTGTGGGGTGTGCCTGTGAATGACCATGACTTCCTGCGAGGGCCTGACTCATGAATCTTGAGAGCTCTGGAGTAGTAGAGAAGTGTTTTGGTGGCAAGCAGAAGCCACAAGAAAATAAAGCTCATCCTAGAAGTGTGACACACCTGCTGTTCTTTAGGAATCCTTCAATCCCTTTCCTAACTAGGTTTAAACTGTGCATTGTGATGTACAGATATATTAGCAAATATTCTTGGAAAAATTATTAAGAGAATCAATAATAAAGATCAACAAAATCAATAAGGTAGGATGCAGAAATGTACTAAATAGCCGGATATTTACTTCCATACTGAATAGGTTTTCAAAAAGGAGCAGAGCTTACAACTGGCAAATATTTTAAGTTCTTGTTACCTCACGTGACATGGATGAACAATTGTATCACACACCTATGTATTAGGAGGGACAGGGTGTTGTCATGCATCTGTTTCTTGTATCTCTGTTTTCTTCTGGCTCCTGCCCAAGTAATGATCTGAATGAAGTACCCACACCAAACTGGTTAACATTGTTATTAACTTTCTATTTCCAAGGCAATAAAATACCCAATACCACATTTTCTAAGGCCAGAGGGAAATGATTGCGTGTCCTAGTCTAATGC